GCGTCAGCGTTCTGAGCGTTTCGAGCGGCTGCAAAGGTATAGGTACCGATCTAGCATACACCAGTGTGCGTCGCATTTTTGGCAACTAGGAAAGTACAGGAATCAATGTAGCTTTCTGAGCGTTTTCGCGAGCTGTTTCGACCTTTTGGTGCGCATTTGTATGCTCAAGCTATACGTTCCTAGTCGCTCAAAACGCTAAGTGTGAACGCTGTTTTGGGGTGGTCAGGAGTTTTCGAGCCCATTCCTTGTCTAAGTCAATGCATGTCCTTCATTTGGAGGCTTAAGCGATTGCCTTCTGGAGGTGAACGCCAATTGAAAGATAGAGATTCACACTAGAATCTCGAATAGAATTTTGTGAAAAGCGTTCGAATAAGGTCGAAGTTGAAGACGAATTTTTTCAGTTGCTGCTGATTGCTGTAGCCCGTTTCATATATGTCCTTCTTTACAGGCTGAAGAATGTTCCTCGACCGGCCATGAAGGTTTGCGTGTTCGGAGATCAGCATCACTTGGATGAGGCCAATGCTAACGGAATCCCTTGTATGAGCGCTGATGACCTCAAGAAGCTGAACAAGAACAAGAAATTGATTAAGAAGCTAGCTAAGAGTTATGATGCTTTCCTGGCATCCGAATCTCTCATTAAACAAATCCCTCGTATAATTGGACCTGGTCTCAACAAGGCTGGAAAATTCCCGTCAGTTGTTTCACACGGTGAGCCACTATCGGTGAAGGTTGAGGAAATCAAGGCAACAGTCAAATTCCAGATGAAGAAGGTATGTTTCACGATTGGGTACACTACACTTTGTATGCGCTAATAACTCACTTGCAGGTACTCTGCCTTTCTGTAGCAGTAGGACATGTTGAAATGACTCAAGAGGAGCTGGTGTCGAACATATCTCTTTCAATCAACTTCCTTGTGTCTCTTTTGAAGAAGAACTGGCAGAACGTACGCTCGTTGAACATCAAATCAACTATGGGCAAAGCTCAGCGCCTTTATTAAACGTTGTTGTTTTCTTACGATAAATTGTTTTGTTGTTGATGGTTCAGTGCATCGAAGTGTTTTTCTATTCACATCTTATTGCACATGTTTGCCATCGGGTTATCTTTTTCTCCGAGTGGGCGTTGTTATACATTAAACAGTGGGATGTCAATAATGTCATTTTGTCATCAACGAGAATTATTTGCATTCCCCTTCCTGCCTTTCAATTAGAGCGTGTTATTTCGAAATGAGCCGAGAATATGTTCCATCAGCTTGAGAGTTATATCAGATAGGAATACAGAACGCATGTAATGGTTTCTAGTTGTCTTAAGAAGTATAGTGCTCTATTGGCGCTGGAGGAGCTGCGTGGCGGTAGGGCCATGCGGCGTCGCGCGCGACAAGCAGCAAGTATATACCTGTGATCGGGCGCGCTCTGGCGTCGCGAGCGCGTGTCCGGTCGAAGTGTACGGCAGCTGCAGGTTAAGTTAGCAGTTTGCGTTATCGCGGTCTAAAACCTAACGGTCATAACAATCCAGGTCCCATCAGAGTGAAGAGCATGGCTGGTTAAGAAGCCAGGTA